TTTTGTTTCTGTGGGTTGTATTTACTGGTAGTTACTACATTAGGTAACTGGTAACTGGTAGTTACTACGTTTTCTCATAACTGAGAAAAAATTTAAATATAATGACACACAAGCACTGTATTCTATCATCTGTCAGAGTAATATCATCACATGCCATGTAACCTCTGGGAAACCCCACTGTATGCTTGTGAGAGAATGCCAGTGAAAAAGGAAAATGATGTCTTAAAGTGTTGTTATGGAACTAGTTTGGACTCTGAAGCTCTTTGAAATTGTCTCAAGAAACTATAGTTCCTAGACCAATTTTGAGAACCACTGCTCTAGACAAAATCTAGGCATCACATATGTTTAAGAATGTTTATAGCAGCATTGTACATAGTAGTAAAATCTAGAAAGAACCCCAAATTCATCAATTGGTATTTTCATTCTGTGAACTGTTGATACACCATGACTGTAAAAAGGAATCAACTACAATAAGAATGACTCTTGAGCAACAGAAGCAAGTCATGGAGAAATATATTCAGCTTTTATTTCAAGTTCAAAAAAGAGGTAAACTTAATAAAGTAGTGGTCAGGAATACATCACAGGTGGCAAAGCTAATGAAAAGCAAGAGACTGAGTAACAGCAAATGCAGGACCAGCAACTACCCTGTGAATGGCAGGGTCAGGGATACACAGAAATTTCTGAGTAGTGAGTATATGGGTGTTTATTTTATGTTTTATATATTTTGTATGTAAAATATACTTCAAAATTAAGAAATAAGAGACCAACACAAAACAACAGCACTAGACAAAGTTACTGAATGAAAGACAATTATTTAATGTAACAGCAATGGAAGAAACCACAAAGGAGTGGGTAATTTTGAATACATTCATTCAAAAAATGAAAAAAAGTCAGAGTGACAAACAAGAAAAGGCCAAACCAATTTTAAAAGCCACACACTAATGAAAAAAAGAATTTTAAACTACAAATGGATATAAATATATGAAGTTTATTCTCACTAGTAATCAAATGCAAATTAAAACCAAGAAAAAGCATTAAGAAATGATCCTAATCTGGGTAAGGCTGTAGTGACCCTAACAATTTCCTATGTACTGGTGGGAATTAAGCTTGGTGCAATTTATATGGAGGAGAATTAAACACACATGTCAAGTGTCCTAAACTATTCACTCTTCAAACCAATAATTCTACTTCTAGACATGACTCTTCAGGAAACAAACTGAACTACTGCACAAAATATCATATTAACAAACAAACAATAACAACAAAAAAAAACAACAGGAAAAAATCTAAGTGTCCAAAAGAGGCTATTTCAGATAAAAGAAAATTCTCTTTTATTTACAGAACTGAATATTAAGTAATATTAAATGTTGGTTACTTCCTAATATGGGGAAATAAAATCATGGCAATAAAAAATAGAACACAGAAAACCACATACAGAATGATCTTTTAAGTGTTTGTTTTAATGTACAGAAAAAAGTTCGTTCACTGTTGTAAGAGCTATATCTCTTTATGATAAGTTTATGGGAGATCCTCTGGACAGTTTTTGGTACAACACAAATTTATTTAAATAAATTTACATACTTGTAGAATCAGACAACAAACCTAAAACAATAAAACCCACAAACCTCAGTTGTTTTTCAAACTCACTAAAGTACAAATGTATTGTTTCAGGGGCCATGGATCTCCACACTATACTCCCAATACTCTCTTTAAGGATCATCAAAGTGGACTTCCTCTGGCTTCTCAAACATGCCCCATACCTTCTCACTTAAGCATCTCAACCTGGACTATTTGATCCACCTGAATCACATTCGCTATCTGGCTGGCCGAGTTCTAGCATCTTCCAAAGTTCTTGAGAAACACTGCCTTTTCTGAGAAGGTTTTTCCAACTCTGGGCTAACCCGGTCACCCAAATTAGATGTGATTTTTCCTGGTCTTGGACTCCTACAGAAATGATTTTAGCATTCCTATTCCTCTGGGCAGCATTTGCCTTTAGTATTTCTGTCTTAACGCCTTTACTAGATTGTAGTAGTAGTTCAGGAAGGGGCTCTATCTCTAATATTGGCACACTGCTTCCCAGAATTAAACAGGAAGTGAATAAATTTTTGTCACAAGAGACTAGTCTCTTGCCCTGGACACAAGAAGGAGGAAGAGAGAATGGGAAAAGTTTCTCATTTGAGACTCAGCATGAAACTTCTCAGAGAAACAATGAGGGATAAAAAGGACAATTAGCAGTGCTACAATTATGACCTTCAAATTTGTTCTTTCTGCAGCTACAAATCTATCCATAATTGGTTAACAATTTCTGTGGAAACAAAAACATGCTTGGAGTTTCCAAGAACCCACCCCCAAAAGAGCTGTTGGAGTTCAGCCAGTGTGTAAACTGATACACTGCAGATAATATTTTCCTTTAGGAAAAACATGTTTGCTTAAGTCTACCTAAAGCCACTTCTGAAACAAAATATTGTTAATGGTGAGAGAAAGGGGAAAATCAAAGAGGAAGGAGGAAAGTGGTTGTTCTCAACACCTAACTTTTAAAAAGTAAACTTGAAAGGGAGAACACAGGCAAATCATACAACCCTTTGTCCCAGTTTCCTACTGTACCTATACCCAATGCTCTATTTCACGAAACAACGGAAACTTTAAGGGGAGAAAGTCTCAAGAATTTTTCTTTTCCTTACCAATGCAAGTCTTTAAATTAATCCAATCAGTATTTGCCATGGCTGTGCAGATAACTCATTCACACATACCCAGGTGTGACAAAATCCTCCTTATACTTAATACCAGACAGTGCTTTACTTTGAAATAACACTGGTCTTTATGAGACATTTTGTGAGGGCTGCTCTTTGCCAGATTTTTGTGGGGGAGAGGAGACAGGACAGCTCTTCATACAGACTTGGATTCATCTTCATATGAATACATATATTTATATTTAAGTGTTGCTATATTCAGTCAATGACTATGTATTGAGAACTATGCTAAGTATATAGACATGAGTCAGACCCTGCCTTCAAGGCCCACAGGTTGCCCCAGACCCACATTTTGCTGAAGGAAATAAACAACAAGTCAACAAATGAACGAGGAAGGTTACAGGTGATAACCATAAAGAAGACAAGACAGGGAGGCCATTTAATAAACAGCAAAGGCCTCTCAGATCCATTTAAACCAAGATGGAGAAGCAGAACCTAGCTATGCTTGGTAGAGTCTTCCAGGCAGAGAAATGGTAAAAGTCCCAAGATGGAAACAGACTCAAGTCAGTTTAAAGGGCATAAAAGAAGCTGGTCACACTATTCTGTGGGTCACATTTGTAGGTTATGATGTTAATTTTGTGCATCAGTGTACCAGGGAGTCATAGGTTTTCAACATTAAGTATTCTTTAATGAACTGTTGCTTAGGTAATGTGTGTACTAGACTGCAATATATAATACATTTCTTACTGTGGGCAGTGGTGAAATCTGCACTGACCAAGATAAGTAGTAACATGAGGATGGTGTTGCAGGTCACCAAAAATAATCTGAGATTTTTTTTTTTCTAAACACAGTAGAATGGTACTAGAGGGTTTCAAACTGGGGAGGGCCATGATCTAACTAGATATGCTGGTGTTGCCGAAAGATTACTACAGTGAATTCAGAAGACCCAGCCCCATCTTAGCTACCAAGGAATCTGAGCAAATCATTTACTCTCTCCAGAGTTCACTTTCTTCATTGTAAAAATGAGAAGGCTGGACGGAGATGACCTTTAAGATTTTTATCTATTACTAAATTCTCCTGGCTATATCCTGCTTCCTCCCTTGGGCCTAAGTAAACAACTATTGGTGAGTACTAGCACATTAGGTCAAGTTCCGGGTTACTTCTGACAATATTATAAACTATACAGCTAAGAATTATGTTTCCATAGAAATCAATTTTAGAATTCTCTCTTTACTGGAACCACCTATCTCATTGGGCTAAAAGTGAATTAAATGCTTTTGCAACTCTCTGGTACAAGATTTGGGGTGTGAAGAAAATTGACAGGGAGGGATGAAAAGATTTACTGACCAGGTTATTTGGAACAGATTTCTTTATTTGTTCTAGGTCATCAACTGACATACAAGCTAGTGGCATCTAAAGCTGCAGGGAATCCTCAGCACTGAAGTCAGGATGTAGAAGCTGAACTTCTTTCATGTAACCAAAAAGACTACTGAGGAAAACTACTTCCTGAGAGCCTACTATATGCTAACCCCATGCTACACAGTTTGCTATACATATTTTCATTTAATCCTCCTCGTTAGTCAAACTTCACAAATATGGAATCAGGGGCTCAGAAAAGACAAGTAAGCTATTAAGAGGCAGGGTCAGGATTGGATTTTAGTCCCTACTTACAGTAAATTATCCTGCAGGATTTTGAAAATTACTGTACAGGTATTAAATCATCAGTTAAATATTGGACAACTCCAGTTATCTGTGACATGTGGACAGAGAAGTTCACCCAATAAATCAATTTGGGGTGCCACGGGTACTTTGCTAGGTACACTGTGAGATGAAAAGAAGCTGCTCCAGCAAAGGGGGGCCTACTTCGCGGGAGCCTGCTGGGTTGTATAAAGGGGAATTAGGCAAACTAACCTAGGGATTCAGATACCCAATTAAGCACCCGTGAATAGAATTTCGGCAATTTCCAGGTTCATTATCTCGATTGTTGTTCCTGACAGGTCAGCAGAGGAATGGCGTCACCTGAGCTGAGGGCCTAACAAGTGTCCTGAAAGTTCCATAAACTCGAGACACTCGAAACACGAATTTCCAACTCACATTAACCCTTTAGGAAGCAAGAGACACGTCACTTGCCCAACTGGAGCAGTATCCTTGCCATACTACGGAGAGAAAACCTAGAAAACGTGGAAGGCATGGTCCTCGTGAGGATCGAAATGGCCCCTAAAGGCTTCCACAGAGACCCAAGCAAACATCTGAGCAAAGTTGGGGCCGCTCATGGCACACCTGCCTCAACACCAAGATCGCGGTACCCACCTGTCACATACTCAGCTTCAAACCTCCGTCGGACCTCAGAGATGAGCTTGGCTTTATTCTGGGCTTGATACTAGAAGAGAGACACGAGGGGACGCTTAGACGTTACAGGCATCATCCCACTGCCCCTCAGCCCAGCCCACCTGCACCTGGGCGCGCGGCCCCCTAGCCTCAGAGGCTGCTTCGGGGTCCGGGATGGAGGGGCCCGGCAGTGATGCGGTCAGCGCCTCACCTCGGCGATAGTCGCGGTCGTGGACATGATCAGAGTTGGCGTCGCCCCTTTCCACAGCTGCGGTCCCAATAGCTCAGCACTGGGCAAGCTGGCCAGGAGGTAAAGAGGGAAGGGCGGGAGGTGGAGGCGGTCGCGTGACAACGGAAGGAGGGCGGAAGCGTCGCCACGCCGCCCAATCTGGTGCGTCCGCTCGGGTCTGGAGGCTGGACCAGGCCTTCAACCTGGCTTCCCATTCGCTTTATGTTCGGGCCCCGTCCCCGACGTCCCCTGAACTGCGGACCCTCCCCTGCCAGCCCGCGAATCTCGGGCTCTTCCCTTGCAGAGGTCCGCCCGTGCGAGCTCCGCCTGCCATTCACTTTTACAACATTCCCCGGAGGCCCCGCCTCCTCAGGCTCCCATGGCAACCGAGTTCTGGCCCTTGGGGCAGGCTCCGCCTTCTCTGCGCTGGACGCAGCCTCCGGCCTGGACCTCCCAAGATGCAGCGCGCAGGCGGGAGGTTTGGAGCTGCAGGACACTGTAAGTATTTCTGGCGTTGCTGCTGCCGGGCTGTTCCTATTGTGTTGAGCGAGGGCCTCACGCATAGAGGTAGGGCTGGTGGCTTGTTCCCTGACCCGATCTTTGCCTAGAGGTAGCGGGGCTGGGCTTGGCTCCCCTATTCCGCCGTTATTGCGGAAGAGCGGTTAGGAAGTGGGCATCCCCAGGCCTGTTCACCGCTTTCTCTGGAATGACAACTAGATTATTCCTAGTGCTTTCTCTATTTGGTAATTACTTCACTTGCAACTTCCTTCACTTCTGCAGCATCTTTCTCACTTGGAGTGTGAGATACTTAAAAGATTTAACTTTGAAATCTTTGAAACAGTTATATAAAGTTTAAAGATATAAAGCGTGTTCAGTTCAGTTCAGTCGCTCAGTCGTTTTCGACTCTTTGCAACCCCGTGGACTGCAGCACACCAGGCCTCCCTGTCCATCACCAATTCCTGGAGTTTACTCAAACTCCTGTCCATTGAGTCTGTGATGCCGTCCAACCATCTCATCCTCCGTAGTTCCCTTCTCCTGCCGCCTTCAATCTTGCCTAGCATCAGGGTCTTTTCCAATGACTCAGTTCTTTGCATCAGGAGGCCAAACTATTGGTGCTTCAGCTTCGGCATCAGTCCTTCCAATGAATATTCAGGACTGATTTCCTTTAGGATTGACTGGTTGGATCTCCTTGTAGTTCAAGGGACTCTAGAGTCTTCTCCAATACCACAGTTCAAAAGTATCAATTCTTCGGCTCTCAGCTTTCTTTATAGTCCAACTCTTATATCCATACATGACCACTGGAAAAACCATAGCTTTGACAGGACCTCTGTTGGCAAAGTAATATCTCTGCTATTTAATATGCTGTCTAGGTTGGTCATAGCTTTTCTTCCAAGGAGCAATTGTCTTTTAATTTCATAGCTGCAGTCACCATCTGCAGTGATTTTGGAGCCCAAGAAAATAAAGTCTCTCACTGTTTCCATTGTTTCCCTATCTATTTGCCATGAAGTGATGGGACCGGATGCCATGATCTTAGTTTTCTGAATGTTGTTTTAAGCCAACCTTTTCCCTCTCCTCTTTCACTTTCATCAAGAGGCTCTGTAGTTCTTCTTCACTTTCTGCCATAAGGGTGGTGTCGTCTGTGTATCTGAGGTTATTGATATTTTTCCCGGCAATCTTGATTCCAGCTTGTGCTTCATCCAGCCTGGCATTGTGCATAATGTGTTAAGATAGTTCTCACCTGAGGCAGTTTTGCCCCCCAGGGGACTTTTTGACCATGTCTGGAGATATTTTTGCTTGTTGCAACAGAAAACTGCAAAGAAATTATAAGAAGAAAAGAACAGTCCCCATACTCCCACCAGGTATAGTCAAACAGGATGGACACTTGAGCATCTTTTTCCCCAAACTTTTTTTGTATCTTTACTCTTTTATGGGGGAAAATGAACATTGTGTTCATTTTATTTGTAATATTGTGTTTGAATATATCCTTGAAACAGTATCTCAAGTATGGTTAAAGTCTCTGTATGGCTCTACTCCCCTACTCTGATATCCTTCTTCTCCAGAATAGACAGTCACTGGGATTTGTCATGAATCCTTACACCTTTGCTTTTTCATTTTGGACCAGGCTGCCTATGTTTGAATCCTGTCTCTGTCATTTCCAATCTGCAGGCCTTTGTGAAGATCCTTAAATTCCATGTCTCAGTTTCCCCATCTGAGGATAATAGTACCTATAGCATAAGGATGTTCTGAGGAATAAGTGCATTAGTCCGAACTGCTTAGAACAGTGTCTGGCGCAGAAAAAGCAGTCAGGGAATGTAGCCATTGTAGGTAAACAAAGTATATCATGCTGTTGTATCTGTTTTGATTTTGATGCATAATATACTATAGTATACATATTTCTGCAACTTTTTTCATTTGATTTTTGAAATCAAGCCACAACGTTGCTGTTTAGTCACTAAGTTGTGTCTGACTCTTTGCAACCCCTTGGACTACAGCACACCAGGCTTCCCTGTCCTTCACTATCTCCCTGAGTTTGCTCAAATTTATGTCCATTGAGTAGGTGGTGCTAGCTAACCATCTCATCCTCTGCCTCCCCCTTTCTCCTTTTGCCTTCAGTCTTTCCCAGATCAGGATCATTTCCAGTGAGTCATCTCTTTGCATCAGGTGGCCAAAGTATTGCAGCTTTAGCATCAGTCTTTCCAATGAATGTTCAGGGTTGATTTCCTTTAGGATTGATTGGTTTGATCTTCTTACTGTCCGAGGGACTCTCAAGAGTCTGCTCCAACACCACAATTCGAAAGCATCAGTTCTTTGGCGCTCAGCCTTCTTTATGGTCCAACTGTCATATCCATGCACGACTACTGAAAAAAACATAGCTTTGATGAGATGGACCTTTGTCGGCAAAGTAACATCCCTGTTTTTTAATATGCTGTCTAGGTTTGTCATAGATTTTCTTCCAAGGAGCAAGCGTCTTTTAATTTCATGGCAGCAGTCACCATCCACAGTGATTTTGGAGCTCAAGAAAATAAAATCCGTCACTGCTTTCATTTTATTCCCCATCTGTTTGCCATGAAGTGATGGGACCAGATGCCATGATCTTAGTTTTTTGAATGTTGAGTTTTAAGCCAGCGTTTTTGCTCTCCTCTTTCACCTTCCATCAAGAGGCTCAATGATACACATATAATTCATTCCTTTTAGCTATAGTATGCTATTCCATCCATATCTGTTCATTCCCCTATTGGTGGTCATTGAAGTTTTTGCTTTTGGAAAAAAAAATAGCATGGTGAACATTCCAGAAAAAAGTCTTCATTATTATGTAGGATTATTTCTCTGGGTTCATATCTAGAAATGAAATTTCTAGGTGTATGCATTTCTGTTCACTGCCTTCCAAAGTCTCCCTTTAATTAAGTCCTTGTAATTATTTCCTAATTATGATTCCACCCCCAGTGTCACTTCACTCCCCTGCCTTCAACACTGTCACCAGGATCTTTATTACTCAGAAGTACACTCCTGTGGTTTCTATTTTTGAAATCTTTCAGTGGTTTAACATTCCTTAGAGAAAGTTAGAAGTCCTTAGTATGGCATCAAGAACCTTTAATCTTTCCTGATTCTCTTAGTGGATCACATTCATCCACATTTCAGACACACTAGTGTTTCTGGGAAAGGGGAGATTTGACTCTGGGCAGGCCTCAACAAATGACTTTTAGTTATATAGGTAGAAGAAGTTTTAACAGTGAACCTCTTCTGTAGCCAAGTTAATTTACTAGGTAAACAACGTCCTGTATGTTGGAAAAATGATTATCTCTGTGTATTATGCTCATACTATTATGTTTAATATTATTAGGTGAAGTTTACAGTTGAGTGTCGTAATTTTACCTTTTTCCCAAAGGTAGAATTCCAAAGACACTTTCCACTGGTCACAGTCTATCGATTGGTTTCTTAGAGAATTTTATAGCTTTCATATATATATATAATATAGTGCTCTTTTAGGAGTTTCCTGTACCAGACCTGGTTCTGAAATTTATAATGCCAAATGTATTTATTAACATTTAACAGTAACATTGTTTATTTGTTGGGAGACTAAGACAGAAGGATGGATAAGGGTGATAATTTGTTGCCTATGTTTAGGTTAGCATGTATCATTTTTCTAATATACTCATACATCTGTTTTCATTTTATGTGTAAAATATACAGTCAACTTTGATGTGTGGTGATACAGAACAGGAAAAGCTCAAATTAACTGCCTAGTATTTTATAAATAATCTGCATCCAAATCTTACTTCCTGCTTCTTTCTTTCCCCCAGCCTCCTCCAGAGCTGTGACTGAAGGTAAAACTTAATTGGTTTGAGTTACCTGTTTTTTTCTGCAGCCACTATTGTAAGAGTACTAAGTAAAAAGTCAAATGACTAATAGGCTAGAATACTAAGCCTGGTGTCCTGATTTGATTAATCAAGACTTGTTTATATTGGTTTAAGAAACTCTACATTGAACCTTAGTTTCACTTGTTTCCAAATTATTTACATCTTAAAAATGAATATTACCACTTATTCCATAGCTTTAAAGTTCTGTCTTGTGAACATATGCTCAGAACTTTTACCTTTAATGTAGATGTTGCATTAGTATAAAATAAAACATATTCACAGATATGTGAATTCAGTAGCATTGAGATTATTATAGGAAGTTTGAAGGAAAAAAAACTTATCTTTATAAATTAGTAGTTTAGCATCTGATTTTTAGCTCTGAAGATGATCCATGTAAAATAGCTTATCTTCAAAATGTGCATGTTTTTGCAGTAGTACTTAAAAATGAAAAATAGCCTTTCATATAACAGTTGTATTTTTAAATCTATTTGAATCTAAGTCCATGAGAATAAGTTTGCTTTTTGCCTGGAGCTCACTCTGAAAGCTTGCAGCAGTGGTTTGCAACTTTTTATCTCTATTATCACTCAGCTTCTATCTTTCCAGGTCGTAGTTCAGGGACACAAATCATAGATTTGGGGGCTGGTTGGGGCGGGGGTGGGGGAGTAGCACAATAGGTGCATGCAAAACTTTTGAATTAGGGACCAGATAAGTTTGTGTTTTAGAACAATAACCGAGGTAGCATAAATGAATGGAAATATTGGAGGAGAGAGAGACTAGAGTAAGGAAGGCTGATTAAAGGGCGTTTGCTGCAGCCTAAATCAAGGATGAAAGCTTGAACCATCACAGACACAACTGGGACAGAAAATTGTAAGGAATAAGTTTCTAAGTTAAGGAACTTAGTGATAGCATTAAGAGAATACAACATAAGGTGCCCGATTTTCCTAACTCTTCACTTTATGAAGGGGCAACAATACGTACTCTCAAGTTTATTGAAGGGGATGATTCTACTGACCTTTTAGCACTAAGGTCCTCTTTACTCCTGCCACACTTGGGTGTGGGTAAACCAGAGCATTGTGTTGATGACCCATTAGTTGTGACATTTAAAATTAAAATTACAAAATCCTTTTCTGGATGCAAGTTATTTTTGTTTATTTTTAGTATTAGGAAGTCAAGACCTGTTGAAGTGAGTAGGTAGTAAAAGACGATGAGTTCTTGGATCTTTACCTCAGAACATATAATGTTTAAAAGTATCATTTAGTGCCAAAATAGGAAACTCTGTTAGAAGTCTCCTAAGAGGTCTGAGATGTCTGTGGGAAATTTGAAAAAAAGAAAGTATTAGTCATACATTTTCATGTAATGTAACCAATTTCAAGTAAAACATAGTTTCACAAGTAAAAGCTACACTTTTGGTTTCACTGCTTGTCTGCTTTACTGATAAAGCTGAAGCTGCTCTGGGATACCTGTTTCCCCAGATCTTTGCATGAGTTGCCTAACAAGCCAGGAAGTCATTTGGCTTTTGCTAGCTTGTACTAGCCAGTATCTCCAGTTGCTTCAGTAATTCTTCTAGAAATTCTCAAAAACAATATCATAAATTTGATTTGAAAAGAAATGTTGTGTAACAGATTACTCCCAAATTTAGCAATGTAAAACAGCAAGCATTCATTATCTTAAAATTTCTGAGGACCAGGTTTTTGGGAACAGCTTAGGGGTGGTTCTGGCTCAGGAAGGCTGGACTGGAGCTGGGAGATGTGATCCCAGGAAGGCTCACTCACACGGCTCTTGGCAAAAGGCCCCAGTCCCTTGCTAGCTGTTGGAAGGAAGCCACAGTTCTTTGCTGCGTGTGCATCTCCGCGGGGCTGCCCAAGTGTCTTAACGATATGGCAGGGGATTTTCCCCAGTGCAAATAATCCAAGGAAGAGATCACTGAGGAAGCCACCATGCTCTGTAACCCAGTCTTCTTCTGTGCCTGTATTCTGTGCCTCAAAATGAGTCATGATGACCAGGCCTCACTGAAGGAGAGGAGATTTAAAGTGCCACTTCTTGATGACAGCAGTTTCAAAGAAATTTGTGAAGGTCTTTTAAAACCACAAGTGATGTATTTTGGAAGTTCGACAATAAGGTGCAGCATCTCCAATTTGAATGATCTAATATACTTTTAAGTAGAATTGCCTGTAAATCAAGTCATTTTAATAAAATGCAGGCTACATTAAGTTAAATCAATAGATTATGGTTCAGTGATACTTTTTTTCTAATTGGATTGTTGGTAGATTTTTATAATAAAAGAAAAAACCTAAGCCTTTGGAGTTTGCTTCTCATTCAAAAGAGGAAAACTATATTACTTACTTGTACATGACCTCATTTTCATTTATTTCTAAAGTACTTTATTTTCCTGGTGTAAATGATCCACAATAAGAGAAGAGAGAGAGTATGAGTTAGAGTTATTTAAAGTGACAAGAGACCTTTCAGCATTCACAAACCATTAAGTATACAGTTGCTCTGATGTTTCTAAGATTAGGTGCTGTATGAACCACAGCTAGCCATGATGATGAGAATGATAGTAGCTAGCCTTTTCTAGCACTTTCTATGGGCCAGGTTCTATTTCAAGCGAGTTCTATTCATTAATTCTAGTACCTTGTAGGTTTGGCACTGTTACCGTACCCTGTTACACAGATGTGGATGTCAGATGGCATAAAGGGACTAAGTAACTTGCTCTAAATCACACATCTAAAAAAAATAAAATAAATCACGCATCTAAGGAAAAGCAGGCCCACCATTCAGAGGGTGCTCTGATGGTTCTTAGCATATGCTAAGCATTTAGTAACTGTTACAGTAGTGACTCCTGGGGCCAAACTCTGGTGGAGGTGATGAAGATAATGGTGACCTCCTTCAAAAGGTCCCATGGATGCACCGCTACACTCAGTGCCCCCAACCCTGCAACAGGCCACTGCTTTCCCACGCCTCTGCTAGAGACTCCTGGACACTCATGGGCAAGTCTGGGTCAGTCCCTTGTGGGGTCCCTGCTCCTTTCTCCTGGGTCTTGGTGCACACCAGGTTCTGTTTGTGCCCTCCAAGAGTCTGTTTCCCCAGTCCTGGTAAGTTCTGGTAGCTCTATGGTGGGGTTAATGGCGACCTCCTCCAAGAGAGCTTATGCCACACCCAGGTCTACTGAATCCAGAGCTCCTGCCCATGTGGTAGTCCACTGCTGACCTGTCCCTCTGCAGGAGACACTCAAACACAGTTCTGGCTCAGTCTCTGTGGGGTCTCTAGGTCCTAGTATGCACAAAGTTTGTTTGAGCCCTCTGAGCGTTTCTGGTGGGTATGGGGTTTGATTCTAAGCACAATTTTGCCCCTCCTACTACCTTGCTGGGGCTTCTCCTTTGTTCTTGGACATGGGGTATCTCCTCATAGTTGCTTGAGCACCGCGCAGCCGCCGCTTCATCTGGTCCCATCACTTCATGGCAAATAGATGGGCAAACAGTGGAAACAGTGGCAGACTTTATTTTGGGGGGCTCCAAAATCACTGCAGATGGTGACTGCAGCCATGAAATTAAAAGATTATTGCTCTCTGGAAGAAAAGCTATGACCAACCTAGACAGCATATTAAATAGCAGAGACATTACTTTGCCAACAAAGGTCCGTCTAGTCAAAGCTATGGTTTTTCCAGTGGTCATGTATGGATGTGAGAGTTGGACTATAAAGAAAGCTGAGGGCTGAAGAATTGATACTTTTGAACTGTGGTGTTGGAAAAGACTCTTGAGAGTCCCTTGGACTGCAAGGAGATCCAACCAGTCCATCCTAAAGGAAATCAGTCCTGAATTTTCATTGGAAGGACTGATGCTGAAGCTGAAACTCCAATACCTTGGCCACCTGATGCAAAGAGCTGACTCATTTGAAAAGACCCTGATGCTGAGAAAGATTGAAGGCAGGAGGAGAAGGGGACGACAGAGGATGAGATGGTTGGATGGCATCACTGACTCAATGGACCTGAATTTGAGTAAACTCCAGGACTTGGTGACGGACAGGGAGGCCTGGCATGCTGCAGTCCATGGGGTCGCAAAGAGTCGGACACAAGTGAATTGAACTGACAGGAGTGACTCAGCATACATAACCAGTGAATGAAGAGACTTCACCATCTTTTACTTACGTGTTTTCTCACATGGATTCAATGGAGGGGGTGTTCCTTTGTTCTTTATTCTGCCTTATTAATTATCTCAAGTTGCCTTTCTTACAATCAGTCTTCAGAGCAAGGGAATACGTGCCAGGACAATGTAGTGGTTAGAAGTATAGGGTCAGGAGCCAGAGGGCCCGTCTTCTAAATCTAGTGCTATTGCTGATTAGCTTTGTAACCTTGGAAAATTTTCGGACCTTCATTAAAATACAGTTTTCTCATTTAAGAAGCAGGGCACCTAAAGCCGGTGCTCTGGGACAACCCAGAGGGATAGGGTGGGGAGGGAGGTGGGAGGGGGGTTCAGGATGGGGGGACACATGTATACCTGTGGCCAATTCATGTTGGTATATGGCAGGAACCATCACAATATTGTAAAGTAATTATCCTCCAATTAAAATAAATTTTAAAAATTAAAAGATGGGATATTAAGAATACTTACTTTAAAAGAATATTCGTGAGTATTAAATAATGCATGTATTGTACCTGGCATATAATAAGCATGAACAATTTATGGCAATTTTTTAATCCTTGTGTTCATTACAATATCTAATCCTCTGTTTTTTTCTACTTTGAATAAGAATAGTGACTTCCTTAGGATGTAAAACTGCATTGCTTTTGCAAAATAAGATTTAAATTTTATTTCTATTACTCCTATGAAGATTTTTTTAAAAGTCATGTTACAGCATTTCCTGGTTTCTACCACCCCCCGCCCCAGTCCCCCACCTCACCGCTCTTTCATTTTGGCCATCAAGTCTGTAGATGCTCCTTTCTCAGGGAGACAGAAACCCAAGTGCCTGGGCTATGGGAGCAATCTAATATGAATCCTTGACTGACTGAGATGCCATTGCAGAGGGGCTAAGACATAGAGGGAGAAACCAGGTTAGGACTGTATGTTTGAAATTCCCTGAGCCGGAAAGTTTGCAGTTCTTTATAATGGAGCACTTGTACCTTTTAATAGAGGCTGTTAACAAATTCACTTATCTTCTGTGATGTACTTATTTGCCTTCTTTGCAAACTGTGTTTTTTAAGGGCTCTACAGAAATGATATTTGGGCTACAGATTTTTTTAAGCTTTTTATTTTATGTTGGAGTATTCAAGAATTAATATGAATTGCAGGACACATCGGGCTTCCCTGGTGGCTTAGCGGGTAAAGAATCCCCCTGTAATGCAAGAGACATGGGTTTGATCTCTGGGCTGGGAAGATCCCCTGGAGGAGGGTATGGCAACCCACTGCAGTATTCCTGCTAGGAGAATCCCATGGACAGAGGAGCCTGGCGGGCTTCAGTTCATAGGGTTGCAAAGAGTCAGACACGACTGAAGCGACTGAGCACATAGTTGATTAATAATGCTGTGATGGTTTCGGGTGCACAACTAAGGGACTCAGCCCCACATATACATGTATCCGCTTCGTTCTTTCTGGGCCTATTAGTAGTTGTCCTCCGCTCTTCTCGAGTAGCATATTGGACACCTTTCCAACCTGAGAGACTTGTCTTTCAGTGTCATATCTTTTGGCCTTTTATACAGTTCATGGGGTTCTCACGGTAAGTATACTAGGGTGGTTTGCTATTCCCTCCTCCAGTGGATCATGTTTTGCCAGAACTCTTTGCTATGACCTGTCCGTCTTGAGTGGCCCTGCACGACATGGCTCATAGCTTCATTGAATTATGCAAGCCCCGTTGGCACAACAAGACAGGGATCCATGCAGAGGATACATGTATCCGTTCTCCCCTAAGCCCCCCTTCCATCCAGGCTGCCACATAACATTCAGCAGAGTTCCCTGTGCTATACAGTAGGTCCTTGTTGGTTATCCATTTTCATGTCTATATGCCTGTCCCCAACCCCCTAACTATCCTTTCTCCCCATCCTTTCCCTGCCCCGCAACTGTAAGTTCATTCTCTAAGTCTGTGAGTTTGTTTCTGTTTTGTAAATAAGTTCATTTGTATCATTTCTTTTTAGATTCCACATATAAGGGATGTCATATGATATTTCTCCTAGTCTTTGAGTCTGTTTCTGTTTTGTAAATAAGTTCATTTGTATCATTTCTTTTTAGATTCCACATATAAGGGATGTCATATGATATTTCTCCTTTTCTGTCTGACTTCACTCAGTGTGACAGTCTCAAGGTCCATCCATGTTGCTGCAGATCGCGCTATTGAGGCAGTTTTTCATAAGTGTGACATTGTTAAGCTCGCATTAAAAGCTAAAAAATGTTGACAACGTTTACAGTTACCTGTGTAACAGTTCTCTAACTAAAACATGTGTTTTCTTTTCAGCTCTGCCTACTTAGTGGCAGTTTTCCTCATTTCATTTTTAGGTTTAAAAGCATCAACTGGAATTGCCTTACTTTCAAAAACTGGACCAACACAAATTGAACTTGATACTGTAGATTCACTGGCAAACAAGCAATGTCATCTAATGAACAAGAAAGGTTCTGCTGTTATAATGGAGAAGTCCTTATTTTTCGTTTGTCTGAAGGAAAGTTTGTAGATGTAGGGCCTAAAACAATACCTGTGTTACATGTCAGAAGAATGGTGTTTGGAAGAGGACCAGAGGGATTTGTTCAGAAATCCACTGGATTCTTTAGCATAAAAGAAGAATACTCTCATTTAAAAATTATGTGCTGCGACTGTGTTTCAGATTTCAGAACTGGAATTAATCTGCCTTATGTTATGATACAGTGCATTAAAGAAGAGAACATTTTCAAATATTTTCTACTGTTTCTTCATGGTACCAATAAATTTGAAAAGTGTTTGAGTTTTAGACTAGGCTATGAGATGAAGGACAGTATAAGGGTCCTTAATGGCCCTTTAGTTTTATGGAGACATGATCAGACATTCTTTTATATCTCTTCTCAAACTGGCAAAGTTGTCACTGTGTCTATGAACTTTTCCTCTGTTGAGTGGGCAGGGGAGATTGAAAATCTAGGTATAGTTTTGTTAGGACCAAAGAGATGTTACTTATCTGCAGAAGAATGCACTCCAAAGTGTTCAAAATCTGATTATGAAACTTGGAATACCCACTTTTGTGCATACTCTCTTGAAAGGGCAGAAGTAATAAGTGATACATACATTATCCCTCCTGCTTATACCAGCATGATAACATTTGTGCATGTCTATTCAACTGAGATTGTCAATGACCACTTAAGAATGTCACTGATTGCCCTTACTCGAAAAAATCAGCTGATTTCATTCCTAAATGGGACTCCTACAAGTGTGTGCCAGCTTCCATTTGGAGATCCTTGTGCAGTTCAACTTGTGGATTCAGGTGAAGAAGGCCTCCTTTTCATCATATCCTTTAGGTCCAACGATGCTTGTGCTGTTTTGGAAAAGAGCTTTCAGGTATGGTACTTATAATCATTCAGTTGGCATCATCTTAGACCTACTAAGCATCCCTAAGCTTCATAGGATTCATCCTAGAGTCTTATTGTCCAAATTGATTTTTAGTCCTGCACTTAAAAGGAAATCATGTATGTTAACAGCATTCCTTTTTCTTAAAATGATTATCTGAATGTTATTTGATAAGTTTTGCCTTGCCATTTTGAGTCATAAAACCCTTGAGTATTTGGAAATACATGAATACATAACTACAATTATTATCTATCTATTTGTCTTTTACCCTGTTTCTAATTTTCATAATATGATAATAATTGGACTTGTATTTTTACTTAGAGCAAGACCATAAGCCTTTCTGGAAAACTCATATCAGTTGTTGAACTTTGAAAAAGTTGGAAAAAAAAAGAAAAAGTTGGTAGTTGTCGTTTTAAACTTAAAATGAAATCTAGAGGAGTTCCTTGAAACCTGTCATTGTCCCTTTAGAGACAAATGATGGTTCTCCAGAGAAAAGCAACGTGTTAATTTTTCTAGAAAATGTTGCTTAGAGAATTGCATTATGTTACATTTTGAAACTCAGAGTTGTTCTCTGAAAAAGCATTCACATTTTATCTATAAATAGTCATGTCTTTTAATGTAAGGTTTGAAATTGCTTTAAAATACTCACTGTTATTGAACGTTCAATAACAAGTAAAAAAAAGTGTAGAAAATGAAAAGGAAATTGGAGGATTGGAATTATTTGTCTCCAATAATATCTCTCTGATCCTGATGTTTTGTTAACATTGCATCCTCCTGGCATAAGATGTTTATCAGCACATTCAGTTATGTGTGCTGAAGTGTTAATAATTTGAGATCTTCCAAAGCAGTTTTTAGTACATTATACAACTTTTTAAGTTCTTGTGCTACTTTGGAAAATGAGAAGCAGATACTGCCTTAGTTGGTGTGCCCTGTCCATTTCATTAGAAGCTCAGTTAAAATTTCTGTCATTGTATTATCACCTTGATATGAAATATTGATAAGTGTTTCAGAAAGCTTGAAAGGCTTTTTTTTTTAAACTTGAATGTGTATACGTGTGTTTGTGTGTGTGGAAATAGGTTGAAATTGTGTTTTATGAGACTTTTCCTTGTAGATTACCTTGATTGCCAGGTTGACCATGTTCAACCTCTGCAACACACGAAGGACTTAAATTCTCAAAAGGAAAATGATTTGAAAACTGTCCTGTTTTTATTTTGAAAGCAATCTTTAAAAGCTCATCACACTGTTATTTCAAGGTTTTGTGGGAAGGTAGCATTTTCTGTCTTTTTCTACTCTTCATTTGAAGAAGTGGCGTGGGGAAAAGCATCTGTTAATAGTGAAGCCTATAATCCTTATTGTGGTCAGAGTAGTGGGAAGAATACTCTTAACCTTGGGTTTCAATCCCAGATGAACACCATACTAGTGTTACCTTAAGGGAGGTATTTGCTTTTTGTGAACTCATTTTCTGTCTGTATGAATTTGGGATCATCTTGCCTCGAAGAGGGGAGAATTCAATAAGATGACATTGTAAAGTGACTTGGACAGCACCTGGTGCTCAAAAGAAGCCCAGAAAGTGGTAGCTACTATTGTGTTGGACGAGGGCTAGGGCTGTCATCAGCAATGGTGCTTACCTAAGGTTCCCTCTTCACCTGGCTAAGGAGTAGTAACTTCCTGTCTCCTTCACTCAGTGGAATAGTCCTCTCTTACTTGAAATGGGTCCCCTGCTCGGACACCATAGAGCTCTGCCACCGACACATTACCCAAGGCAGAAGACTTCATCACTGTTTGTACATGGGCCTGTAACTTGTGGGCTCCCTGCTTTGAAATCGTATCCTAGGGTTCTTTTTCTACGCTAGACCACCAGCCTTTCCACAGGTTATTTACCTTCGTCTCTACTGACAATCGCTATGCTACCTCTTCAGGGATTCCGTACTTCTAAGCTATTCTCAAGTGCTCAGTACTGAATGTTCGGGAGCTGATACCTACAAGTTAAGTGCTTCTAGATTGTCTCCGATACCTTGCCACTCTGGGAGTTTCACAGCTCCTGTCCCCATCATGGTGTTTATTTGTACATACCTACTTAAAAAGAAAACTTGATGTAGCTTATGGTAAAATACTTGATTACTTTAGCAACAAGAATAAAGGTTAAGAATCTACAGATAAAAGGGGGAATAATCGGGTCAGAAAACCTGAGTTAAGGGAAGTAATTGCATTTGAGCAATTAAGAGAAATAAAGTAAATAAAGGAGGTTTTGTAATTGAATGGAACATAGTAGTAAGGGGAAAAATATTTTTTTCATTGCCTAGTGAAAGGAATTTCCTGTTTGTGGTATCAAGAGGTTTTAAATAGTAAAATGAATACATTATTGAGTAATAAAATGGTGCCTTGGATGGTTTTGCCCCCAAATGGGAGAAAACATCAGATGCAGTCTTCCTTTGGGTTGGCTATGGATTTCATCCATCTGTCCTTTTACTACTTCTTTACAAACAGGAATTAAGGCAACTTACAAAGATAGGTGAACTACAAATAAGCATAAATTAGAATAAATAGTGAAAATCAAGGTTACTGTGTTCTGAGATCAATGCTTCTTGAAGGCCCTAGTCCTTAATCCAGTGATAGGGCTTGAAAGAGAGAGCTGAGTGTGGAGAAAAACATGATTAGCTTTTCTCCTAGGCTTTTTCTTTTGAGTAGAAATTATCTCTGCAAGTTGTGACAAGTATCTTTGTAGCAGGCATTTCAAAATTGAGATCCTTGTCAAGTATGTGTGAAACAGGTAGTGGTGTGTTGTCAGGTAGAAAGAGGCCAGTATGTTTAGAGGTGTGATATCTGATATGGTCAGTAGTCACTGGCTCCAGGTGGTGATTCAGCATTTGCAGTGTGGCTGGTCAGATTTAGGATGTGCTGTCCATGTCAAATACACAGCAGATTTCAAAGGCTTAGTATAAAGTGGGAGTAAAATATTAATAATTTTTCTTGATTCTGTTGAATTGAAATGATAACATTTTAGATAGACTAAAATGCCTTTTAAAAGTAAAATCACCTTTTTACTGCTACTAGAGAATTTTCTTTGATTAGCTACTGGAAAATTGAAAGTCATGTATGTGCCTTGCATTGGTGATTCACCTATATTTCTTTTGGACAACCCTCTTCTGGAGCTAGAGATTGCAGGTGTATGTACATGCATGTGTGCATAGCTCTGTGGTGTTTGTGTGCTGAGCACATTCTTTTTTTTTTTTTTTTTTTGTTACAGCATTCTTATTACCAGTGTCTCTTGGCATGGTTCATTATAATGCATGCTACTCGTGGCGGGGTGGTGGGACGAAGGGAGGCTATGGGTTTACAAATAAGCTTTCTCCCTGCATGAGTGAAAACTCACTGTTTTGAGTGAAACATCACTGCTTTGGAATTAGCCTTATAGGGGAAAGATCGATATTTGATTATGTAGCTTGAAGAGTCTTATGTATTCTTGCTTGAATGCAAGTTCTCCTCTACCTGGAAGATGATGTATCCATGCTTCTGGGATTCTTCATGGGGGTTTCAGCTTTTCTGCCTGAGGGAGAAGGAATTTCTGATCCTTTTCTGTGTTAGTTTTCCAGGGGATCAATCTGGAAGCCTTCAGCTTTATGGATCTTTAAGAAGTTGTCTTCTATTTTATTTTATTTTTTTTGTCTTCTATTTTAAACTTGGGATTTCACGTTCTGGTATAAATTTAACAAATCATTCCAATAGGCTATGATGATTCTAGGTGCCCCACTATTAGGATCTCTTCCCTTCTGAGCCCCACATAATCACTATGTTCTCTCCTACCAGAATTCAGGATATATTAATTAATTATAATTTCATATGGACTCTTACTCTGCTTTGAGAGCTCTTAAAAGTGTTTGCTAGTACCTTCTAGTTACCTAACGCAACTGAATTCCTTGTGTAATTGGTTTGATCATAAATACATATCCACCAAGGCTCATGGGAGTGAGGGTTATCCTTAAATTAACCAGTTAGAGAAAGAATCTTCACTGGAGTTAGTCATGAGAAGTGTTAACATTTATAAATTATAATAAAATTTTTATATAGGAATCAGGAACGTGACAGCCCCTGGACAAATGTTGATAAAATATTAAATATAAGCATCTTGCTTTCTACAAATTTGTGACTCCTTATGTCTTCTGATCTCCCAATATCTTTATTTTAGTTTGGTTCTTAGTGTTTGCACTACCATTTTCATGACTTACTTGTAAGATCGAAGATGACAAAGTAGAACTACTTGCAGCAAAAGGATTTAGCTCACTTTATGTGTATTCATGTGTTCCTTTCTTTGTTCCTTCTTTACCGCTCTCTTTCAGATCGCTGCCAAGTGGGAGAAAATTAGTTCAATACTAATAGATGACTTCTTTGGAACTGGAACGGAACAAGTACTGCTACTTTTTAAGGACTCCTTGAATTCAGATTGCTGGAGTTCCTTTGAAATAATAGGCCCTGACACCTTAAACTCTTCAGTAGGTTCTGTTTACTTTTTATACATTACTTTAAAAACATTTTAGAAAATTTGAATACTTTAAAGCTTTTGACTTACCTTTAAATATTTATTTCATACTTTTGACCCACCTTTTAAATATTTTGATTTCATACTTAAAACTTTGAGAACTTAAAAATACATACACTGAATCTTTTAAATAGTATATTGACTTTTCTTTCAACAAATGTTATACAATTGTAAACCAAATGTTATACCAACAGTATACCATTACTCTTTTTGGTGTAAATTTGAAATATAATGTATCTGGTATTTGCTCATGACAATACTGTAAATTAACGTCATCATTGCTTCTGAAGAGCACATTTTATGCCAATAAAGCATGGTGATATTAGATTTATTAAGGAATAAAATCAAGTGAAAGTGCTTTATTAAAAGAAATAACAGTTCACAATGTGTTAAGATCTTGAACCTAAGAGAAACAATACCCCAAAAGTTTCAGGCCTATCTTAAATACCTCTGAGCCTCAGTTTTTTTATTAGTAAAATGACAATAATTCTTATTTTCTCTAGTTAGGACATTTTATAAAAACCTAGTAAGCTGATACTTTTTGAGGCAGTATACAAATGTTCCATGGGTGGTAATAGTGGTATTCATTTTTTCCCTAGTTAGGAGAAAATGGTGTATATTGTGGCACACTGCTTTTCAGATAAACTTTAATTGTATTTTGTTGATCTTAGGAATTTTTTAGTTTATTTCAAAATTTCAGTTTTAATGTGCTTTTTTGTTTACTAGGGTGAAACATTGGATAGCAGTAAAGATGACCTGTTTGAAGACAAAGAGGAGAATTATTTGGTGGTCCTACCTCTGGAAAGAAGATTGCAAGTCAGTGTCTGTTTCCTTTTGCTTTTTTTGGATTAGTGCTGTTCTAAATGAAGGAAAGGACATTGAACGAAAGGTCCTTAAAGTATAAGCAACACAGTGATTGGGGAAAAAAGAAATGGTACAGGTTATCTCCCGCTTTTCAAAACTTTGCTTTATGCTACTTTGCTCAATGCCATTTTGCTTTACGCCACTTTGCTTTTATGAAAGACCCCCATTAGCAAAGACTGTTTTTTGCTAACCAAAAGAAATCTGAAGAGGAGTTTTGCTTTTATGAAAAAAGTTGAAAGCGAAAAGTAGTGTTCAGCATTTGTTTTGCAACAAGCCATCGCAGCGCACATCCCAAGCAGCGACAGTAGTCCCGCCAAGCTCCTTCTGCGGACCTTATCTCAGCCTCTCAGCAGCCGGCCGCCTTGGCTTTCACCTGGGTCTGTGAGCACCTGGGCTCTATCTTGATTTATTTGGTGCATCCCTAACCAAGATGTGTCCTAGGGTAATTGCTACTTTGCTTTACACCGTTTCTTCTTGGTTAGTGGGGAAAACCTGTATTTCAAAGGATCTATTTCCTTTTCCGGTCCCTCTGTAAAAGCTATTAAGACATTACTTATAAACGTATCATCTAAAATGATAGTTTTTTGAGTAAGATTGTGTAAATTTGATAAAACTTATAAAAGATAAACATCTGACTTTTGGAAAACACGTATTTTGTAGTTTTAGGATCAGTATACCGTTACTCTTTTAAAAGAGCAGCAAATATGATGAATGATGACATGTTCCAAACATGAATAGTTTACCTTCAAGTTTTCCATACAAAGCTCTCTAAAAAAGGTTTTGATTTTCTCCCAAGTGTACAAAGGTACTGCATATTCCTTGTAAAATACTCAAACTTTAATGCTAAGAAATATTAAAAAGAGACTAACAATTATCTTTAATTCTATTACTGTGATATAACCAGTTTTAACACTCTGACTTGCATATTCTTATTGATGTTTTTAATGAATATATACAAGTTTACATGGAAATGTGATTATAAGTTGCTTGTTCTCACATAATCTGCCTTTTTTCATTCATAAAAATTTTCAAATATATAGAAAATTCATAGAATAATACAGTGATCATCTCTAGTCCCCATGTAGATTCCCCTGTTGTTACTTTATAAAAATCATATTTGCCTCATGTGTTTCTACTTGTGTGTATGTACATGTATTTGAAAGTTTCAAATATTCAATATTTCACTCTTACGTGTTTTAGCAGGAATTTCCTAAAATAAGAACATTCTCCTGTGTAACCCCAATACCATTATTCACTTAGAAAGTTAATATAATCTCTTAATTTTATTTACTCTTCAGTCCATATTCAGAGGGCTTCAGTTGCCACAGAAATGTTTCATATGGCTGCTTTTTTCAGGATCCAGTCAGTGTTTGCACTTGATTATTATATGTCTCATTGGTCTTTTTCTCTAGAATAAGCCCTCCCCTCCTTTTGAAAAAAATGACACTGCTGGGGCCAAGCCAGTTGTCCCTCCTTTTGGGTTTGTCTGACTGTTTCCTTGTGTTGTCCTTTATGTTTTGCTGTATCTCTGGCAAAGTTTTTTGGTAAAGGGCCAGATAGTGAATATTTACACTCTGCAGGCCCTTAAAAATTTTTTTTGCAAGTATTTTAATATTAAAGTGAATTCACTAAATACTTAGTGAACACATTAGATGTAAATGTGAATGGTAGATAAATAAAGCATCATAATGGACAAAGAACTGTAAAGGAAAAGGTAGATTACATTAAAAACTTTTGTGCTCCAAACAAAGTAAAATAAAAAGACAAATTTTATAAAAGGAAATTGTAAAATTTGACAGAGGATTAATTTTCTTAATATAAAATGTGTTCTAAAACAGTATTGTTGAGTATATAAAGTGGCCCAGTCTTTTGAAAGGAAGTTTGTTATAGCTATTAAAATGTGAATTGCATGTCTTTTTACTCTTAGAATTTCACTTCTAGAAATGTGTTCTAAGGTTGTACTTATACATATAAGCAAAACTGATTTTATAGGAATAGTTAAGTAGTATTTGTAAATACAATTCAGTCAAAATCTAAACATCCATCATTAGGAGTATGGTAAATCAATTATGATTTAACTGAATCATGGAATACTATGTAGCTCTCAAAAAGGATAATGTACTTTTTAATACAATCTTTAAGTGATGCCAAATAATTTAATTTATGAAAGCATGGCTTTTAGAAATTCCACTTCTGGTAATATGTCACTTAGTTTTTTTGAATCAATTCTAATAATAAAAACAACTTAAAATGGTAGTTGAAATATATATTTTTTTAAGCTTCAGAAAGCTGAAAATATTAATATAAGAGTAGATTAGCAGACCAAACTCTAAAGGCTGGAACCCAGAGAGACAAGCAGAACACGATTTTTGCCCTGGAAGCATTCTGTATTTAAACTAAAGCAGTAGTACCCTCAGTTCAGTTCAGTTCAGTTGCTCAGTCGTGTCCGACTCTTTGCAACCCCATGAACCACAGCACACCAGGCCTCCCTGTCCATCACCAACTCTCGGAGTCCACCCAAACCCATGTCCATTGAGTTGGTGATGCCATCTAACCATCTCATCCTCTGTCGTCCCCTCCTCCTACCCTTAATCTTTCCCAGCATCAGGGTCGTTTCCAATGAGTCAACTCTTCCCACGAGGTGGCCAAAGTATTGGAGTTTCAGCTTCAACATCAGTCCTTCCAATGAACACCGAGGACTGATCTCCTTTAGGATGGACTGGTTGGATCTCCTTGCAGTCCAAGGGACTCAAGAGTCTTCTCCAACACCATAGTTCAAACCCTAGTCACCCAGCAAAACCAACGTAAAGTCCTCTGCAGGAACACACATTTATCCTAGGCCTCTTCTGAATCTCACAAATAATTTTTTTAAAGAAAATGAGCCACCCCACATGAGTGGGTGAGTGAGCACATGAAGAAACAAGGCATCCTGATTAATGATTCACAGAAAATAACCAACTGCCATTTCTGTAAACAAGTATCCACATGTTACCACTAGCTCTCATTGTGGTCAAAAACATTTCTAAGTGCTGGAAGGCCTTTTAGAGATGAACAGATCTACCCTCTCCACCATTTTGCATACAGGGAAGCTGATGGAGAGCCAGAAATATGAGGTGGTTTGTGGAGCTGGAACTGGAGTTTGGCTCACTGTTCTTTCCGCTCTAGAGTTTATTTTCCAGCCACTCGTTGAAGGGGGTAAGGCAAGGCCAGGACCTTGGAGACCATTGTGCACGTGTCCAGGAAGGTTCACAGTGTTGGTGGGAATGCTCCACGACTGGGCATCCTGACGTCCGCCAGCAGGAGGGGGCGAGGGAAGCTGGGGTAGTGAGCTGATGGGGTGCTGCAGACCAGTGGCAGGCCCGAGCTCCAGCTACTAGTGAGAAGTGGATGAGCTGAAAAGTGAGTGCATACAGAATGACTCCACCTGCAAACGTTCAGAAGCAAAAGACACACGTAAAGTAAACATGTTCTTTAGGAGTTGATATGATGATGGTAAAGTGATGAAGACCAGCAAAGAAGCTATCTTGAAAGGGGAGAGTAGTGTTGCCTCCAGTGGAGAGAGGTTCTCGATTGGGGAAGGCCCATGGGTTGCTCCAAAAGTGCTGCTTTTTTGACCTGAGTGTGGTTCCAGTGGTTTCTACTTCATCCTTGGTCTGTGAATTGTTTATTTATCTTATGTACTTTTCTGTGTATATGAGAGCAGTCACAATAAGAACAGGAAAGCAAGATTCAGTGTTACACAATACAGTGTGCTCCTGTATTTGGTTTGGGGTGGGTTTTATTTGTTTTTGGGGAGAAGAATGAAAACATCCCTAACATACACATGGGAAAGTTCTGGAAAGGTAAACAGTCTTTTGTCTTTACCAGTGGGATTGAGGGTCTAGGAAGGGAAAGTGAGATGTCTTTGTATGTTGTTTCAATACATTGTCATGGGCTTATTTTATAGTTTTATAACAAAACTTGTAACAATGTAGAACATTTCAGTAGTCTGATGACTCACGATTTATTCCTGGAGTATTGGGATCATGTTGACAAGAGTCAGGAAGAGAGAACACGGAAAATTTCTGAGGGGGTCCTCATTGTCAACCTGCCCATGTGTCCCTCTTCTTCCACCCCCTGCCCCTCCAGCATTTTCAGACTTGGTTCTCCACCTTGGACAGGTACATCTCACGTCCCCTCAGTCATGAATTACTGAACCAGTGAGTGATGGAGTGTGAGTGATGTGGAACCCTCAGAACTAGGCCAACATAGGAAGTTTTAAAATATTAGCTAGAAAAATAAAATAAAATAAAATGTTAGCTAGACACTTAACATATTTTGTGCAGTGAGGTAAGATAGGGTTCTGTCTTCATTCTCCAACTTCTATTCGTTCATAGAAGAAAAAAAATTATCTGTTTTAAAATGTAATTTAAAAGAAAGGCAAATACAGGGTGTATCTAGTTTTTTTCAATCTAGAAAAACATATTATATTAAAAGCCAAATTAATACTTGAACAGTCTCAGATCACCATCTGCAATGAAACAGCTTCTAAAAGTTCAATGGCGTGACTCTTTAAATTTTCAGAGGTAAAATATATTTCATGAATGTTTTATCCTTAGTGCTGATATCTATTTATCTGGTATAATAACAGGAACAGTTTGCTCTTTGCCCATTGAGAGCCATTTTATCCCCTTACTATTTAAGAGTTAACCCCAGCATCGAGTTTATTTGCACAAAAGTAAACATGTGACAGTTTGGGATCTGTTATGTGTTACCTTTAAAATTTTGCTGTGAAGGTCATATAAACAGAAGATTTCAAGAAATATTAAATCAAAAGTAAGCATTTCTATTCACAATGATACATCTTGTTTTTGCAGAAATTATTTCAATAAGAAAAAGTTTTCTTGTTGGGGTCGTCCTTATTTTTTATGCATATTTATTAAATTCATTCATATTCATATCGATACTTAACTCAGTTGTGAAACATGTGAATACACTGACATTGTCTCAATTTGATATGTAAGCTATTGCATTTATTTGCTGTATTATTTTCCTTTGTAATTAGAGATTTTTCTTTAATAAAATAGTTTTGCTCTGAGTATTCATTGCTGTCTATAGGAAAATGAATTAATAAGCAAATTTGGAGAAGATACCTACTGAATTATTAGTATATTTGGTTTCATTTGAAATTATATCTCTGACAATGGTTTTTCTTTATGCTTTATAGGTTGGTTTCATTTCTATTTGGGAATTACAGCAGCATCTCTTGCTTAAGGAAAAAATTATATCAAAATCTTACAAGGCTTTAATGAACCTGTTTCAAAGAAAAGATGATAGTACATTAAGTGCAGAGGAGGTAAAGTTAAAAATGTGACCATTTTTTCATTTTACGAATTGAAAATCTAAAAGCTATTTAAGAGTTATTTAAATTGGAATATTGGAATGTATTAGAAAGTGCTGCTCAGTGAATCAGGAAGCACAATGGCAGGGATTATGTAATGGTGGGCTTTTATGACATTGAAAAGTGGTTAAAAAACCAATATTTAACCAATTTGCAAATTATTCTGTAAGATATTAAAATCTCAGTTGTCAGGCACCTTGAGGAACAAGTTTTTTTTTTTTTTTTAAAGATGTAACTGTGAAACTGTTTTATTTGTATAGTTTGAATAGAAATGACTCTTAAGTGAATTATAGTTAACCCTTGAACAACAGGGTCAGGGGCTCCAACCCTATGTGCAGTTGAAAATTCACAAGTAGCATTGCTCGGCACCCTTTGTAATCTTGGTTCCCCATCTGCAGATTCAACCAACCGGGGAGTGTGTAGTGCCATAGTATTTACTATTGAAAAAAATTCACACATAAGTGAAAGTGAAAAGTATAGTCACTCAGTCGGGTCCGACTCTTTGCCGTGGACTGTGGCCCGCCAGGCTCCTCTGTCCATGGGACTCTCCAGGCAAGAATACCAGAGTGGGTTGCCATGCCCTCCTCCAGGGGATCTTCCCCATCCAGGGGTTGAATCTGGGTCTTCCGCTTTGCAGGCAGATTCTTTATCAGCTGAGCCACCAGGGAAGTCCTCACATATAAGTGGACCTGCACAGTTCAAACCCTTTTTGTTCAAGGGACAACTGTATATGTTTTCTGACTTCTTCAACAGAATGTATTAATTATTTTATTTTGTGTTAATGGTGACCTAATTTTATCTTTAATATAATGATTGTTCTTTTAGTCTGTTGCATGATTCATTTCTAAGAATATTTACTCCTCTAGTTAATGTCCCTAAATTGCTATGTCTTTTCAGTCCTCCTATTTGCTTTTTATAATTTTATTCTCATTTTCCTTGTGGTTGACCATCATAAGAACCTCTTCAGGTACCTTGCAGTTACTTATGCTGGTGTGGTAGTGTCAAATATTAGCAAAAACTGCTTTGACTTCATTAAAAATAGTGTTTATACATATTTGTTTCATACAGAGAAAGACAGTATAGTTGAATTACAGATAAAGCAAGACAAGCTGGACATAGGCACACTTGAAGTTGCAGATTTTCTTTCCTCAGGTGACTTTAACATCTTACTCTGACTTCCTCTAAGATTTACCATTCTTATAATGGTCTTTGCCTTTTGTCTGTATTTCAGTCTTAGCAACATGAGGATTTTGGCCCCAAATGCTTCCATTAATGTAAGAAACAGAGGCACATCATGTTGCATTTCTGTATTACTATTCTCATCTCCTGGGGACCCTCGTGTAAGTGCTGTTGAAAGCCATTGTTCGGTCTCCCCATTTCCCTTCCCTACTTGAACCCAGTGATTTTGCTGGTATTAGAAAAGGGGAAGAAAGGTTGGAAACTAATGCAGTGAAATCACTGTCTGCAAGGCACTGTTTTGAGCCCTTTAACACTGTTATCTTTAAAATCTATTCTGGCAGGTAATAAAAATTTCTGTTTCAGGTGAATACCCTGCCTCAAATCTCACAGCTAGTGGCAGAAGTATCAAATTCCTAGGAACACATTTAGTTCACTAGAATGTAGATGCCCGTATCTTTTTTCAGTAATTACCATGCAGAGGGGCAGTATAGAGTAATAGTTAATATGCACCATGGGCTCTGGAAGCAGTTGGCTCCGGTTCAGACCCCAGCTCTGCCTCTTGTCAACTGTGTGACCTGGGACAATGTACTTAACCTCCCTCTGCCTCAACTTTTCCTTATCTGGGAACTGTAGATAATAATACTACCAACCTAGGGTACTAGAGTTATTGTGATGGTTAAACATATTTATACGTGAATGGCATTTAGAACAGTGCCTGACATATAGTAAGCATTCAGTAAGTGTTTTGGTTTTTTTTTTATTATCGTTACTCCTCCTCCTATTTACATTTGTGTTATAAATCCATATGTGTGTGGAAGTGAGTGAGTGTGGCCTGGACTTTTAAGAAGAAAACTTTATCATCAACTATACTTGAATTAAAAAAAAAGGAAAAAGAAGAAAATTTTAGCAATAACTATACTTGAATGAAAAAAAATGAAGGAAATTTTCACAAATATAGTTTAATCAGTGTTATTCATACAAAAATTTCCAGTTCTAAGTTTAGTGTTAGTCACTGATAAAATAAAGATTGCATTGTCTTCAGCATGCCTTGGACACATATTGTCAGATTATTTTTCAAAATGGACTCAAGGTTACATCCCTGCTGGCTCTGTATTGGGTATCCAGAGCCTTATTTACAGTTAGGCCATGCTTCTTGATCCAAGGGTGGTGGTTGTTCAGTCGGTCAGTTGTGTCCGACTCTTTGCAGCCCCATGCACTGCAGCACACCAGGCTTCCCTGCCCTTCACTATCTCCCGGGGTTTGCTCAAACTCATGTCCATTGAGTTGGTGATGCCATCCAACCATTTCATCCTCTCTCACCCCCTTCTCTTCCTGTCTTCAATATTTCCCAGCATCAGGGTCTTTTCTAGTGAGTCAGCTCTTCAGATCAGGGGCAAAGGATTGGAACATCAGCTTCAGCGTCAGTCCTTCTAATGAATATTCAGGGTAATTCCAAGTAGATAGTTAATTGTATGTTTTTTAAATTTTATTTTAGTGAATTATGTATTATCTATTTCATTGATAATAATTTACTTTAAAATATGTAAGCCATAAGGCCCAGCCAAAAACTGGTTTACATTGTATTTTTGTTTTGCTACATTTGGTATATTTTTGTAATCAGTTATTTAAACATATTTTTCCATAAGGAATGTCTTGTTACTCTTTGTGGTGAAGAAGAAAATCCTGTCTGTACCTTTGATGAAAAGTTATCAGACCATTTTCAAGATTTAGAGCAGCTAGTAGAGAAGATATGGTATCGGGTAATAGAAGATAACTTGGTTGTTGGAGTGAAACCCACATCTTCTTTGAAGGTGTAAGTAAATTCTAACATGATAATGTCATCTTGCTCTATGGAATAGCACTGTCCAACAGAAGTATAATGCATGCCACATAGTAATCTAAATGTTCTTGTCGTCATACTAAATACAAATAGAGGGCTTTCCTTGTGGCTCAGTGATAAAGAATCCACCTGCCAGTGAAGACACGGGTTTGATCCCTGATCTGGGAAGACCCCACAAGCCAGGAAGCAGCTAAGCCTGTGAGCCACAGCTATTTTGAGCCTGCATCATAGCCTGTCTTCTGCAGCAAGAGAAGCCAGTGCTATGAGAAGCTTGTGCACCACTGCAACTAGAGAGCAGCCCTGCTCGCCTAAACTAGAGCAAAGCCCGTGCGCAGCAACAAAGACCCAGCACAGCCAAAAATAAATGTTTTTTTAAGACAGTAGGGTTTTTTTTTTCTTATTTAAGAAGAAAGGTGAAAAATCTACCCCAGAAAGAAAATACTGACGTTATTTTACCTTTCCTGTCTCTTAAAAAAAAAATTCCCTTTGTAAAGTCCAGCATATTTACAATGTTTTTGCTTTCCGGTTTCAAGAGAAGTGCTATTACAGGATCTTTGGAACTATGTTTGCTTTTATACTTAATTTTCAAATCTGTTTTACATTTGAAATGATTTTACATTTGAAATGAGAGGAAATGAGAGGAAATACTTGCTTTTATACTTAATTTTCAAATCTATTTTACATTTGAAATGAGAGGGAAGGAGAGAATAAACAATTTTTTTTTTTTACCGTTTTAAGGCATTTAATCATCTGGTTGATGACCTTTTAGACTTAACTGAGCTCTGTATTTTTTACAGGTCTCTGAATCATGTGACTTTATCGCTGTCAGTGGATCAAGGCCCTAACTCTACCTTTCCACTTATTAAGTGTCAAAATAGGATATTTAAGTTGACTAGGAATTCTTCTCCAGTACTAAGCTCAGTGCCATATGAAGTAGGATCAGAGGTAAAAAGAATCAAGTTGAGTGTTGATAGTAAAGAAGAGAAAGAGGAAAGCGTTGTTTGTGAACGACCCTTGAAGAAAGAATATGTACAGATGATTACAGCTGTAACAGCTCTTCCACCACTTTTAACATTCAGTAATTTTTGTTGCATTGTGCTGCTACAAATGAGAGAGAATGGTAACTCTTCTGAAGCTCATTATGTTCAATGTGGCAGAATTTTTTTAAGTGTAGAAGATCTTTCAAGTGGGAAATATGTGCTGACATTTCCAGAGAAGAAACCTATAGGTAATTTTTGTGGGTCCTTTTTAATCATATACCTAATTGGATCAGAGAATTTTAAGAACTCCTTTTATGTGATCCTGGACAGAGTCTAATGACAGTGCTTGTGATGTTTTTGCCGTAGAACACATGGAAGATCTCTTTACACTTCTTGCAGCATGGCACAGAGCTGGTTTTCAAATCACATCACCCATGTTCGTTCTTACTTCAGTGAGGCTATGGCTGTTAGAACACATGAAGTGTGAAGTCATCAAAGAATTTCCAGAAATTTGCTTTTGCAAAAGGCCGGGAAGTTTCTATGGGACACTCTTCAATTGGAAACAAAGGACACCATTTGAAGGAATTTTAGTAGTCTATTCCAGGTATTTCACATCAATTGGAATTGGTCCAGGGAAGAGTGTGTGTGTGTGTGTGTGTGTGTGTGTGTGTGTATTCCAACAGGGATCCCTCTAGTAGTGTTCTGTGCCATTGTAGGACATGTCCAGGTCATCACCTGGTACAAGGTGAATAAACAGGTGGTCTCATTTAGAAACTGAAGCTGTTTTGATTATGTTTGTTTTTGGTTTTTTGGTGGGGTTGATTAGGTAGGGCCTAATAATTTTAGGATTTGCCTTTGCTCCCCCACAATGGAATTTTACAAATATAATTTTGATTTCATGACTCAGAGAAAAACTTTAATCAGGAAGCAACCTAATCAGGTTATTAGTCAGTAGGGAGGCCTGGCATGTTGCGGTTCATAGGGTCGCAAAGAGTCGGAAACGACTGAGCGACTGAACTGAACTGAACTGAACTGAGTTGATTAGGATATGTATACAGTTGTTCCTCTGTATCCACAGATGATTGGTTCCAGGACTGTGATGGACACCAAAATCCATGGATGCTGAAGTTCCTTTTATAAGCTGGCTTAGTACAGTCTGCCTTCCATATCCATGAGTTCCATATCCACAGATCCAACCAACCACAGGGCTGGCTGTATCTGATTACTACTGTCTGAATTGTATCAGTGACCACCTGCATGCATTATAGGTTCTATTCATTACTAGAGGATGTAGAAATGAGTGGTAACTGATTATTACAATATGTTGTACATGACCATTTTGCACTAAGTTTTGTAATATTGTGTTTGTTTTTTTTTTTTTATTCATTCCAGGAATCAAACAGTTTTGTTCCAGTGCCTTCATGATCTCAGCACAGTTCTCCCTGTGAACAGTTTCTTCAAATATCTAGAGTTAGAAAGTGAGGATTTTCTAGTTGGTCATTTGGCAGTAGCTTTGGAGAAGGAATTGGTCACCCTTGGTTCTCCTTCTTCTGCCTTAGTGAAGGTTGAAACGAGCTTGGTGCAGAATTGTGAAGTAAGCAAAGAAAAGAGTAGTGATAATGTGGCTGCTTTATCAGAGGAAAGCATCCATCTCTACAGAAAAGAACTTCAGAGAGAAAAGGAGCAAATGTTGGGGACGAACTTAAAAGTGAGTGCTGCTCTTTACAGAGAAATGACTTTAAAATTAGCTGAAGTTCAGCTGAAATCAGACCTTGCTGCCAAGCAACTGACAGATTTATAATTATATTCTCAGTTTGATTATATTTTAGAATATTTTTCCCTGCCATAGTGCTTTGGTCCTACTTTTTCATTTTATATTATATGCCTCCTCTGTAAAATGAGGATTGAGGCTCACTGTAGAGTCTTTGGTTTTGAAGATGCATAAAATAGCCTGCCTTAGAGTAGCACTTCTCACCTGGGCTCATTTTGCCTCCCAAAATGGGTAAAGGGACATTTGGCTGTAATTGTTGTCAAAAGTATGTCAAAAGTAGCAGTGGCGGGTGGGGAGAGCAAGAGGTGGGTGCTATTCGAATCTAGTGGGTTGAGGCCAGAGATGCTGCTAAACTTCCTACTCTGCCCAGGACAGCTCCACAGCAAGGAATGATCCAGCCCAAATGTGAGTACTGCTGGGGTGGAGAAATCCTGCCTTAGCGTTTCCACTTAACACGCAAGTGATGGAGCGATATTTTGTTTTAAATCTTCAAAAAAAACTTAAATAGTCCTTTTATTATTTTCTGCTTACTGAAATCTTGTTGTTGTTATTGTTTAGTTGCTAAGTTGTGTCCAACTCTTTGCAACCCCGAGGACTGTAGGCCACCAGGCTTCTCTGTCCATGGGATTTCCCAGGGGAGAATACTGGAGTGGGTTGCCATTTCCTTCTCCAGGGGATCTTCCCAACCCAGGGATCAAACCCGGGTCTCCTGCATTGGCAGGCGGATTCTTTACTGCTGAGCAACCAGGGAAGCACCCTAGTAAAACCTAGCATATAAAAATCAACTTCAAACAGATAAACAAGGTTTTCAGGATTCAGAAGGTTTTGTAAATATCAAGCCCCTGTGGAAATTTAAATGGCAGAGTGTCTAGGTGATAGCACTAAAATGAAAATGGTGGAAACCCTTTTTAAATTCAATTTTATTAGAAAACCTCTCTGAAACTGTAAGTCTACAAGCATGTGAAAATTTTGGGGCATTTCTCTGAAAAGCATCTCTTTTAAAAGGCTAAGTATACCTCACAGGCCACTATTTTCAAAAAGTTGAAAATGCCTTTAAGCCATCTGAAATTCCAACTCTTGGCAAAGCTAAAATGTAAAATCCTAACTAAAGTTTCTTAGTTGTGCTAGCCACATTTCAGATGCTTGATAGCTACATGTGGCTAGTGGCTATCATTTGGACCATACAGAATAGGACATTTCCATAGTCTCAGAAAGTTTTATTAAATAATGCTACACTGTAAGATATCCTCTATTAACTGTGTCTTATGTACAAATCAAGAAACTGAGACTCACACAGGTTTAGTACTACACCCAAGGTCATCTGGCTAGTAAGGAGCTGAGCCAAGATTGAAATCCAGTGTAGCTCTAGGACTTTTGCTCTTTCACCACTATCCTCATTGTAGTGAAAGAGCAAAGCTCGGTTTGTAATAAAGTCAGTTTGTAACAAAATGGTGCCGTGTCTTCTCACAGTTTTATATTAACAAAATGCACTTACTGTTTAAAAAATTTACAAATGTGCAGTTCAATAAAAGTATAAATTTATTAATATTGCAATATCAGGGGAAGTGTGGGACATGTTATTTTTAATATTTTTATTGAAATATAGTTAATGTACAATATGATGTAGGTTACAGGGATATGATATAGTAATTCACAATTTTTAAAAGTTATATTCCATTTATAGTTATAAAATATAGGCTATATTCCCTGCATTGTACAATATATCCTTATAACTTGTTCTATGCATAATAGTTTGTCCTTCTTAATTCCCTACTCCGATGTCACCCCTACCTCCTTCCCTTGCCCCACTGGTAACCATGAGTTTGTTCTCTGTATCTGTGAGTCTGCTTCTTTTGTGTTATATATATAGTTTGTTGTGTTTTTTAGGTTCCACATATAAATGATTTCATACAGTATGTGTCCTTTTCTGTATGTCTTATTTCACTTAGGACAGTGCCCTCCAGGTCCATCCATGTTGCTGCAGATGGCATTATTTCATTCTTTTTTATGGCTGAGTAATAGTCCACACACACACACACACACACACACACACACACACACACACACACACCACATCTTTATCCAGTTATCTGTTGAACTGGTGTTTGTTTTGGTTTTTCCCCGGATATACATACCCAGCAGTGAAATTCCCAGCTCACATGGTAGTTCTATTAATATTTTTAATTTTTTGAGAAGCCTCCATAATGTTTTCCACAGTGGCTGCACCAATTTATATTCTCAACAACAGTGTACAAGGGTTCCCCTTTTTCTACATCCTCACCAACATTATTTGTGTACTTTATGATGGTAGACGTGAGGTGATGGTAGACGTGATGACAGATGTGAGGTGATAATCTCATTGTGGTTTTGATGTGCATGTCTCTAATGATTAATGATTTTGACAATCTCTTCAAGTGTCTGTTGGCCATCTGCATGTCCTCTTTGGAAAAATGTCTATAATCAGGTCTTCTGCCTACTTTTTAACTAGATGGTTTGTTTTCTTGTTATTGAGTTGTATGAGCTGTTTATATATTTTGGATATTAACCCCTTAACAATCATATCATTTGCAAATATTTTCTTCTATTCAATTGGTTGTCTTTTCATTTTATCATGGTTTCCTTTGTTGTGGGCCACGTTATCTTAAATCCTGTAATAGGTGAATTCTTAGAGGTGATTGCTGGTCCCAGCCAAGTTTTCTCTCTTGGCTATTACCTTCAGTTCTATCTGAATACTTGACTGTCTATTTCTTATTTCATTTCATTTATCTTTGTTAGAACCATAACTGTGTAGAATTATTGGATAATAATTTATATTTGGGAGTTTCTTAAATGAAAGTGTCAATTCTTTAGATAATCCTTAAATAACTTCTCTTTGAAACATCTCTAGAAAGTCTTGAGATTCCCTGAAGTGTTTGTCATTGGCTGGCAGTCACTGCAGTAGAGCTTGGAATTCCAGGAAAACTTAGCTCTTTTAGAAAACTTAATGTCTTTATTCCACACTAGTACATCACTTGAGAAGAAAAGGAGTGGGATTCTGTTTTCTTTTTTCATCCTTTGTGTGCGCTAATCCTTCCCAATGATGTGCCTATAGAAAACATTTTGTCTCTTTCAAAATATCAATGGTGTATGACGTGGAAGAGGATGTGGAGATCTTTCATCTACTCAGTGTTTATTGATATTTCATCGAATACATGTCCTGCCCAAGTGTATAAGTAGCTGCTAGGAATCTAAAGATAAATATGACTCTCTGCAGCTTGAAAAAAAACTTGCAGTCTTAATGGGAGAGACAGTGGCACAGAGCTCTATGCTATACTAATTCATAAAAGTATTCCTGGGGTCTTATGGGAATACCCTTCTGGGGCACTGTACCCAATAGGGACAGTGTTTGAAAGCACGAGTTCTTCATTTTACGTGACAGGACTCTTTAGGGATCTGATAAATTAAGGATATTCTTGTTGGGGTGGTTGTGGACTAAAGTGGTATTATCATATACTGGTATTGTGCCTGATGATTCAGCGATCATCCTCCAGACATGTTGCTGTCACATTAAGAAAGGGCCAGAGAGGGACTTCCCTTGTGGCCCAGTGGCCACGACTCTGCACTCCCAATGCAGGGGACCCGGCTTTCATCCTCGGTCAGGGAACTATATCCCGCCACAACTAAGAGTTCCCATGCTGCAGGGAAGATAGAGAATCCCTCGTGCCACAGCTAACACCTGGTGCAGCTGAATAAACAAACTAGAGAGTAACCCCCACTCATTGCAACTAGAGAAAGCCCATGTGCAGCAGCGAAGACCCAGCACAGCCAAAAGTAAATAAATAAATATAATAATTAAAAAAACACTTTATTTAAAAAAATATGAAAAAGAACATGCTCAGAGAATTACATATACACAAAGAAAGAAGTTCAAACCAGAGCATTTGACACAGTAAGAAGGGATCTAAAACATTTAAATCATGCAGTTTTGAAATACTTATGAATTGAAATTGATTATCTGAATTATTTACCTATGTGGTAAATGCATAATATTAAATTTGCCATCTCAGTCATTTCTAAGTATACAGTTCAGTCATGTTCAGTATGTCCACGTTGTTGCACAGTTGATCACTAGAACTTTTTCATCTTGTGAAACTGAAACTCTATTCATTAAGTATGAATTCTCAGTTCTCCTTTTCCTAGCCCTTGCTTTACACTAATAATTCTCAGCCGTGGTTGTTGATAAGAACCACCTAATGACTTCGTAAGCCTCACTCCAAAGATTCTGATGCAGTTGGTCTGGGTTCTGCCTTGGGCCTTGGCATCAGTTTAAAACCTCCCCCAGTGATTCCGATATACAGCCAGAGCCAGTGCCTTACAACGAGCAGAAAGTCAGCTTGACTGTTTCAGGGGGCACGGCTTCACAGATTTCTCTTTGTCATCTTTCTCTTCGTAATGTAATATGCCATTGTTTCTCATGCTTTCATATACATCCAAATAATCTGAGGATCTTGTTCAACTCTACATTCTGATTCGGCAGGTCTCAGGGCGGGGGTGGGGCCTGAGACGGCATGTCTAACAAGCTCACGGGTGATCATGATGCTGCTGGTTCGTGACCATAATCTGAAAGGCAAGGTGATAAGCAACTTTATGGTATTGTTAAAGTCAGGACTTTTGTGTTGGGGAAAATGGAAGTTTTCAGATATCTTATTTTCCTTCCATAAAATCCTCACAGTCTAACGTGAGGTTAGCTAACTACAAGGTCATCCGTCTCTCGCATTGTGCTTCCACTGGTACAGATTCTACACAAAAGTGTTGCCATGCATTGTCTATGTCTCAACAGCTCTGGTGATGAAAGGAAAACCAAAGAATACATTAGCTTACTCTTACTTTCTCCTTTGACATTTCCCAATTTAGATTATCTTCAATGCCTTATATCCATAATCATTGTGGAAGGGTATCTTCTCTTTCATTCCAAAGAATGAAAACTTATGCCAAATACTGAAACAATGAAAAGACAATGATTGTACAATTCCAGATGACACCTTTTATCCATTAGGTCTTCTATTAAAGGAACATCCAACACAGAACAAACTTACCAGTGGAGGAGATGTCATAGTTACTATAATTGGTGAGAGGTGTGCAAGCTTGAGATGGCTTGATTCAGCAGCTCAGCAGTATATTACAGTATACATCTCCACACACCAGTCCATCCAGAAGGAGGAAGCGTACAGAAGAGTGAGGAACCTTCTTTTCCAAAGCATAA